TCCCTACACTGTAACCCACTATAGGTTAACTACATCCAGACTAAAATTATCTTTTTATCAAGGACAAAACACAGTTATCAGAGGTTTTGTTCTCCATCTTCTTACCAATACTCAAACTGTCCTGGAAAGATATTTCTCTAGTCTGTCCTTAAAAACAATGTCTCTTAGCAACCTATTTTCAACTCCAGTTACTGCTGCTGTCTGGCCAGTCCCTCTGAATGCCACCTCCTCTCTGACAAGAACATTATTTGCCCTTTGCTTTTTAATCACCCCATATCCCACAGAGCTCCCCAGAACTTTTTCCTCTGCCATGTCAGCAACAGAATTTTGGCTTTTTCTAACTTTTCTTATACCTATAAGCTCAGCTCCTATTATACATTAATTCGATTGCTGCTGCTGTCTGTTTTTATTCCTCATTTATGTGCCCCTGTTCCTGGTATTTGCTATCCAAATTAGTGGCAGTGTCTGCAGAGGTTTATACCAGGTTCTTCTTTGGATAAATTCCAAATTTCTTCTTTAAATTAAATGCTTCAAAACTTCATGCTGCCTATATAGCTCATTTTAGCTGCTTCCTGCCATCCACCGTGCTTCTCATCACACAACCAAACATTCCTTTGAGACCTGGATTTTTCCTCACTGTGTTTCCCTGCTTTCTTCTGCAAGTTCTTTCGTTTCAAACGGCAGTTGCACTTCAATGAAAGCATTTTTTTTACCCCTTCATGAAATTCTTGACAACCCATCTTTTCTACAAGTGTTTTAGCAGTAATGAGCTCGTGGTTCTCTTTGCTGTTTGTGGCTGTCTATCAGCATCTCAGGACATCTCCTCCTCCTGGCAGTCTCTTGCTATAGGAGAACCTCAGGCCTGTTTAGGTGCAATAACTGCAATATGAATACTGTCTTCAAGCCCTGGCCTATGAAATTCATGGGAACTCTTCTGGACAGAAAGACACGCCAGGCATGAGGGAACATTTCATTTTCCCTTGGCTAGAGCTACCAGTGGTTTTAGAAGCATTTAGTTTGAAAAGTTCTTCCTCAATTGTATGATGCTATCTTTCCTCATTAAGCCTTTCTCTGACTTCCTTTTTTCAAGCCAAGGGTTCTACATTGTGGTGAACACCAGTAACTAAAGAACAACAAACATTTCTCCAAAGACTGCAAGACAATCCTCTGCCATGGTTTGTTGGCTCTGCATGTGAGAGCATTTCAATTTCAACCTTTCCATTAAACAATGATGGAAGTTCAAGTGAACTTTAACAAAGTCTAGTTACTTTGCAGCTTTGGGAAAACAGCCAAGATACACACCGTAAGGACTAACTGAAAATAAATTAGCACAAAGAGCTTCTTCAAATGGCTTTATTTGCAAATTTACATGATGGATGTATAAGTCAAGAGGCAGGCAGGTCCCTTCCTTTGTGACTGACTATAGCAGCCCCATCTCAGAGCCTTACCTTCATACTGAGACTCTGGCAGCCTCTCTCCTCCCACTGGTAGCCTCATTCTCCCTCTTTTCATTTCATCTTTACTACTGCTTACTACTCCAGCTTGGGGTCAAAATTCTAGGATTCACTTGGTGTTAACCAAGGAAAACTTTGAGAGAAATATTTTTACCAACACACAACGCTCACAGGGGGAAAATCTACCCCGGAATCATTATTCACCAAGACATCAGCATCTATATTCTCCTGGATCCAGACTCCTGAGACAACAAAAGCCACATCAATACCATGAGTTCACCTTCACTCACCTATCAGTGACAGACACAACAGCACAGAACACAGGATAAGTTTTTTAGCTGCTCCCTATAACTCATCTTTTAGTAATCACATTAACAGTAATACCAGGTCCTTTCTAATTCTGCAAAATTCTGTGCTAAAAGAATGAAAACTCAGGAACAGATCTGAGTTTTGTCTTCAAGCAAGGTGTTTCCCAACAGCAATGGCCACTGCTCTATGATACACAGCAAAGTCATGAGTTTAAAAAAAGAAAACCACCATCAAGTGCTGTTTTGAAGTCATTGCTAAGTACAAAGTCGTGCTGGAATGTACCACATACCAACTAAAATATATTGTAGCTATAGTCTAATACCCTGCTAAGCCATTAAAGAAACTTCCCTGTGGGGCATGTGTGGAGTCTGACATACTTTTTGTAACTCTGCCAGAGACTCTGAGATGGGGTTTTCTGCTGTGTCTCACTGTAAAAGTGCATTACTCCCAGAGTCAGTGTGGACCCTGCTTCTTTAGGGTGTTTCTGGCAGCTCATAAAAGGAGAAATCGTTTGAGCAGGCATTAACCAAATAATTATAATACTTATACAACATAGAGACTTGGGCCAAGCCAAGTTTCTAAACACCTCAGACACACTTTATTTGCCTACAGAACCCCTGGCCTTTCTCTACAGGCTTTATCCATACAACCTGATTTTAGCAAGAGCATTTTGGAGCAACGGATGGAGGGACAGAAGGAAAAGCCATGAGGGTGCTCCAGCTATCACAGATGCACTGTTCACTCAGACACACCCATTCCCTGCAACCATTACAGATGTATCTACTGCTGCTCAAACAACTGAGATACATCCCCTACATACACACAGCCCTTGGGTGACAGTGGCCACGAAAAATGCATTTTGTTAGACTCCTGGAACTGAGGAGTAGAAAAAATAAGGGAGAAACATAACTGTTATCCCTAACCACAAAAGACCTCTGGGCAGCTGCTGTCACATTGAGAGCCTGCTAAAAGCATGGCCGTTTCCTTCAAAAAGAGTTGAGCCTGCTCCATGGGATATTTCAAAGGCTTTTTGTCATTTTGGATATATAATTTTTTTCCTTCTATAGTAACGTTTCATTTTTCAATACAAATACTTGAAGCCGATAACCAAAGTACAGAAAGTTAAGTAATAAATAAGTGGATTTTACAATCACTTCTAACTCCTTTTGTTCCAAGATCTCATCCATCAAGCCCAAAGAAACTTTAAGAAGCCAGGGAGAAGCATGCTTGGCATAAAAGCTCTCCAAATTTCAGTCACTGCAGTTTTGCTCCTGTTCAGCAG